AAATTACTCAAAGATAAGATGGCAACAGGGGTAAGTTTTCCAAATACATTGTCTAAGATAGAATGTATACCATGCGTTATGGGAAAACAAACGAGACAACCATTTCAGAAGTCAGGCGCAACCAGTAGGTTTAATCCACTCGGATGTGTGTGGACCCATGAGTACTAACTCCATTAGCGGTCTCCGATATTTCTTGACGTTTATTGACGATTATTCGCGTATGACTTATGTATATTTTTTGAAGCAGAAATCTGAAGTCTTCGAAAAGTTTAAGGAGTTCAAAGCGTTTGCTGAGAATCAATGTGGTAAGAAGATTAAAATCTTTCGCTCTGATAACGGCACCGAGTTCGTCAACAAACAGATGAATGAGTTCATGAAGAAATGCGGAATACAGCATCAAGTTACGGTGGAGTACACACCGGAACAGAACGGTGTAGCTGAGCGAGCAAATCGCACCATCTGCGAAAAAGAAAAGATATAAAGCGCGTCTTGTGGCAAGAGGCTTTAGCCAGAGATGCGGCGTTGATTATGATGAGACATTCTCCCCGGTGGTAAGGCACAGTTCCTTAAGAGTTCTCTTAGCCTTAGCAGTTAAGATTGGTTTAAAGGTAGACCAGATGGACGTGAAGACAGCGTTTCTAAACGGCGACTTAAATGAAAGCGTTTACATGAAACAGCCTGAAGGCTTTGAAGAAGGAGATAAGGACTGTATGTGCCCTCTCAAGAAGTCATTGTACGGGCTGAAGCAAGCCCCAAGAGCCTGGAACACAAAACTACACACTGCTCTTCTACAACTCGGTTTTAGAAGATCAAAGAATGAACCATGTGTGTACATGAGGTCTCAAGGCAAAAAGATAATTATCTATTCTTATCCAAAATGTCCTTATCCATGTATTTTTATCCAGAATGACAAGCAGGAGTTACAAAAGGTTAAAAAGGTTATGTCCAAGTTCGAGATGAAGGATCTTGGAAGTGCAGAGCTCATACTGGGCATGCGAATAACTCAGAATGAAAAAGGAATTAAGGTTGATCAGAAGAAATATATTCAGAAGATTCTGAAAAAGTTTGAGATGGTTGACTGCAAGGCTGCATCAACTCCTTCAGTCCCTGGTCAGAAGTTGGAAAAACCAGGACCAGAATATAAACCTGATCCTAAAATACCTTACCAAAATTTAATTGGTTCACTCATCTACCTTTCTGTCTGTACGAGACCAGACATAGCATATGTTGTGAACTACTTGAGTCAGTTCAACAATTGTTATACGGAGGGGCACTGGACAGCTGCGAAGCGGGTGCTCCGGTATCTTAAAGGTACACAAGACCTTGGACTGCAATATAAGAAGACAGGGTTGAAAGACATTGTGGGCTTTGCTGATGCAAGCCATGCAAGCTGCTACGATAGAAGATCCTACTCGGGTATAGTCTTCAAGCACATGGGAGCTGCTATATGCTGGGAGAGTAGAAAGCAGAAAACGGTAGCTCTGTCGACAGCAGAAGCTGAATATGTGGCAATGTTGGAAGCTGCTAGAGAAGCAATCTTCCTGAAGAGATTCATTGCAGAAGTCACTGAGCAAGCTGAGGTTGCATTGAAAATTTACAGTGACAGTCAATCTGCTGTTGCCATTGCGGAGAACCCTGTGCATCACCAACGCACTAAACATATTGACGTGCGACATCATTTTGTAAGAGAGGCAGTAGAGTATGGTCATATCGTGTTAGAGTATATAGAGACAGATCATATGGTTGCAGACTCCCTGACAAAGCCTTTATTGAAAGGAAAGTATAAATGGTATACGCAGATGATGGGTGTTGTAGTGTGAAGTGTGTGATTGAAGGGAACGGAATGTCAGTAAAGGAATAAAATTAAGGAGGAATGTTAGAGAAAAGAGGTTTTGAAGACAACCTTTTTCTTGACAATAATTTTATTCTTTTATGATACTGTCAACTACTGTTTTTGCTTGTTCTATTATTTTGTCTTTTTTCACTGTCGTTTATAAGTCATTCATTAATATATATATTTTACAACCAAAATATATTTATTATTTGTTAAAACCATTTTATTCTTCGACACTCTGAGCGCAACTATCGATGCAATTAGATGAAGTGTGCCATCTAATAATCACCCAATCTTCTCCAGGTTCAGACTTCAATGTTGTTCCGAAGGCAAACGCTTCATGAGCTTCCTTCTTTGAATTTTCCTTGTTTGGACACTGATAATATTTGTGAGGGCCATCACAGATGTAGCATTTCAATTGTTTCTTATCTGGCTTGCTAGTATTGCCCTTGCTATTTCTGTTTCCTTTCTTCTTTGTCAGTAATGCTGATGTTGACGTTTGACTTCTACTTGTTGAGTCAGTGTACGTATCCTCCATTTGATACAGTTTATTCTTTACATAATCTGACGTTAGTGCAGTCTGACTATTCTCAATCATAATTTTCAAAGGCTGGAACTCAGGCGTAAGGCCTTGTAGGAGAAGGGCAGCTAAAAGCTCATCGTCCACTTCTTTTCCTATATCTCTTAGCTCCTGGGCTATTGTCAACACACCTGTGACGTATGCCCGTACCGTCGAAAATTGTTCCAATTTTAGACTGACCAGTCTTAAATTGTTCACGATTGTTCACGCCTTTATCTTCAAACGTCTTGCTTAGATTCTCCCAAGCTTCTTTAGCTGTCTTCGCAGAGCGTGCACAAGACAGTCAGGTTGCAACATCATACCTATCTTGGCTCTAGCTTTTCTATCTGCCTTTACAGCTGCTGCATCGGTTTTGATTGGCTCCTTACTAGTGTAGTCCCATAGATCTTCGTAGACAAGTGCCATTTCAATTTGCACTTTCCACGTCGCATAATTTGAACTGCCCTCTAGTCTCGCCATTGGTGGCATGCTTAAACCACTATGACTTGCCATTTTTGATGCTTGTCTTGACTTCTACCAGGGTCTAAATTTTCAACACCCTCTGCGATGTTCACATAATACGTGCACAGGCCTTATAACCTATTGGTGAACCCCAATTCTGGGCCACCAATGTTTCAAATATATTTAAAGTGGATACTATGCATATGCAAACATGTTAAATAAAGATTTTATGAATTTTATTTATAGTTTGCAAGAACATCAAAATAGAAGTGAAGTAAAAAAAACAATAGGCATGGACAGCTAGTCACAAAAATAAAGATTATGTCAAATAAATCAGAAGAGTAAAATTGTTCTAAAAAAGTATTTTATACATGAGTAAAAACTCCTTGCTTTAACAAATATTAACAAAATTCAAAGAATGCAGAACGCTATATTGCGCTCAATAAGTGATGTTCCTTGGTTCGTCACCAATACCGAAATACATAAAGAGCTAATGATAGACACCGTTCAAGAAGAAATTCAAAAGCACAAAGAAAGATACCAAGACCGTTTAGAAAGACATCCCAATGACCTTGCTGTAAAACTGAGGATAAAATCTTACTCGAAACGCCTGAAAAGAAAAGACATTATAGTCTCTCCATCCTCCGGAGACTTAAATAGCAATTTAGAGTAGATGGCTCATTGGAGTTACGCTCCCACAGAGAAAGACACTGAACAAATTTGCTAAAAGTCTAATAAGCTGATTGCAGATGAAAATAAAACAAAAAAAATAGAATAAAATTACTGAAAATGGGGTACTTGATGTTTAAATTTATAAAAATCGCTATTTTTTTTTCGAAGTTTTGTAAAAACAACTTTAAGCGATTACAGAGATAGATCAATCGGTGGCGCCATTTCGTAAACAAATCGAAATTAGTGCCATGTAAGCGGAGAATTAATATGCTAAATGAACTTTACGAGATCAGTTGACTGTATTATATATAGGCATAATTTTATATATGTGCGTGGTGTAGTTTCTTTGAGCAGAAATATATTTCCCTTAGAAACTTCCCTTTTTTAATTTATTTATGACACAAGCAGTCATTTCAAATTATATTAAATGCAAAAAAGACATCGAGTGTCACGTAATAACTTCTGTTAATCTTCTTTTTATTTTTTATTGTTACTTCTGTTATCAAATATTGATCTATACTTATCAATTGTCTAAAAAAAATTTGATAATGACAAATTTCCAGGCAAACTTTCATCCCTTATTTTTCGCCTATGTCTTTTCTTAAAGTTAAGTCTATTTACTATATTAATTTCCATTAAGATGGGTTCAGTTGTTTAGGCGTTTAAGCGTTACAACACTTATTTATCTTACCTTAAGTTATCGATACTATAACCATACGCTGATCAAATTAGAACTATACCAAGTTTGCCAAAGTATATGCAGTGATATTTACCAACTATATTAAATCATCATATAAAATACAGCATTTTATAATCTACAATAAATATCGATTATAAGTTTATTGGAAATATCGCCGAAATAAATATCGATTATACACAAATCTATTATTTTTCCCAAGCCTATTGAATTTTCCGGATCGCTTACACAGCAGTGCACAAGCGTAAACACGTTTTTCATTGCCGCCATCACGGACCTGAAGCAACCGGTCCGGAAAAGAGAAAAGTAAAATTCCGGATGGTAAAATTCCTGACAGTGCACAGGCTAGCATTACCTATATATGACCTGACATATCGGACCTGAAAAAATCGGACCGCCGGACATGAAAATTCAGTGTAGTGCACAAGCGCCCTAACTCTAGTCATAGGATATGACATATCATTGATGTTATGATGATATTTTGTTTCATCTTAGGTACTTCATTTTTTCAATCTCTCTGATATTATCTTTTGATGGATAGATTTGGGATTAATAACTTGTTTCTAAAAGTTGCTGTCAAATCCATAATAATAATTTTTATCATCCATTCGTCATTAACAAAGTACATGTTAAAGTAGTAAAATGAAACGAAACATCGACATAACATCGCTTAAATGTATCTTAATTTACGCTTTTAATAAAACGTTTCAAGCTATATGGGTTAAATTAGGTCTCTTTGCACTATTGGATTAAAAAAAAGATCTGTCAATCATTCTTGCGAAGAGGTTACTTTTCTTACTTGCTTGGTTGCTATTAGAAAATTTTTATTATAATATTCCAATCTAACAATATTCCTTATAACATTTGTTTAAAAGAGCTAGCTTTTTATTTTTTAGGTAATGAGAATTATCTTTCATATTTCTTTTACAAAAGAATAATGGACAGTCCTACCAAAAAGAAAAGAAGAATTGATGTTGATAGCAGTAAGTTTATAATTATTAGCTTGTATGGGGTCTTATGTCAATTTATCCTTATATGCAGGATGCATATCCTAATACTATATAAATGATTATACATAGTTAGCCAAAACTTTTTTATCATTAATTACATTTGTTATGTTATAAAAAGGACCTACTTTACATAATGTAGTATAATTTCCATTAACTATGTTTGTTTGTAACTTTGAATCTCAACAGCAAATGGATGTATTTATGTGCTTTCCACCAGTTATAGTTACTTCATGAGAGATTATATACATGCATTTAATGTAATTAATTAAAGTTTTAAATTGACTTTTGATGTCTAAAAAGCAAATCCAAGTAGGAGCTTACTGTTTATATATTATTTGTTACATATATATATTATTTGTTTTTATTTTTAGAGGAAATAATATCTTCAAAAAATGGCGAAGTCCTCGAAAAACTAAAAAAAAATAGAAAACATGTACCAAAGTTTCGCATCAAGAGCAATGGAGAATGTGCTACTTTGGAGACTCCATCAAATGAGAGGGTACCCCTAATGCTAACTGATATACAACACCTTTTATTACATTCGCTTTTGGGTAATCTCAATTTGACGCAACCACCTAGGTGGTATGTGTTTGACAAATGTGACCATATCAGTCAAACTACTTGTCTTATATTGGAAGGTGTCTCTATTCAACATTGGGAAAAATACTGTGATAATTTGCATTATACTAAAAAAATATTTACTGATTTTGTGGAAATACTAACACCTTCTGTTTATAATGGTTCATTAGTTCAAGAATTGGCTTTGGTTCCTTTGTCTGAAGTTGATAAAGAGGGTATTATACAAAAATATGGCAGCATGAATTTAGCATTGGAAGCACGTAAAGATTTAATGGTAATGATGAAAGCAGTTTTTCCTATAGGTAGTGAGGTAAGACAAAATGTAGAATTACTAACTGAAGATAAATTTCCTAGAACTCAATTAATTCTGTCAACCTGGCAACTTATTGAAGAAAATTATCCAATTCCCATAAAAGGTAAATTAAAGAATGCATATGCAGATTATGTCATGACAAAAGATGAGTATTTGCCTGTTACTGTTAATTCGCCTATGTTTGGATTGGATTGTGAGATGTGTATCACCAGTGCTGGTTCTGAGTTAACAAGAGTGTCAATAGTTAATGAAAGTCATGAAACAATTTATGAATCTTTAGTTAAACCTTATAATGACATTACAGATTATTTGACAAGGTTTTCTGGTATAACAAAAACTTTATTAAGCAATGTAACTAAAAGACTGAAAGATGTTCAAGATGACATAAGAGAATTGTTGCCCCCTGATGCTATTTTAGTGGGTCAATCTTTGAATATAGATTTGCATGCTTTAAAAATGATGCATCCATATGTAATAGATACCAGTTTAATATACAATTTTACTGGAGAAAGAACCAGAAAACCAAAACTCAAAACATTGGCAAAAGAGTTTCTTAATATAGATATTCAAACTGGAAAGGGTGGGCATTGTTCGGTTGAGGATTCATTAGCGTCATTAAAATTGGTCCAATTAAAACTCAATAAAAACATAGAATATGGTGATGCTGTTCATACTAATAGACAAAAGTATAAAGAAAATATTATTAACAAAATATCTAAAACACCTGAATTAGCACTATCAATATTCAACCATATGATTGCACAACGAAAATCTTCTTTAGTTGTTGGATGTGATGATATCACTGGTGATTACCATTCATACCTTTCACAGGCCAAAGAAAGTATCTCATCACACCTGAGAAAAGGTAAACCCAAAAAAGTGAAGCTTAACACAGTAGACGAAGTAGAGGAAGTCATAACAACTCTTTCAAAAGCCTCTAATGAATACAATTTTGCAATGGCTCATTTAAAATTGGAATTAAATCATGATAAAGACTCTGAGCAAATGCAAACAATTGATGAATGGATTAATAAAATTTGGAATTACCTATGTGAAAGTGCATTACTTGTAGTTGTATTTAGTGGGACAACTAATGATAATGGCATGGCTATGATAAAAATAAAAGGTCAAAATAATTAAGATCTAATTAAAATAAGCATAGATAATATTTGTATAAATATAATTTTATGTAAATATATAAATTGATTTTTATAAATATTTTTTTTACTTTTTGTATTTCCTTTAAATGATTCTCTCAATGGGAGGCGTATTGACCTACATGTCATACAGAGTATGTGAAGCTTGATAATATACAGCCATGCCAATACCATGCATTTTCTATACATTATGCTCAAGAAATATATGTTTGAAATTGGATACTTAATGTTACAGTTGAAGCACTATAGGTCTAAAATGTCAATATACTCCAATAGATTTTAAGCCTAGATCTGATTGTAGTTTGCCTATCAAAGTAAGCTGGGCCTCAATTCTGCTAATGTTAATGTAAAAGTGGCTTCTGCAGGTCATCTTAATAAATTTCATTTTACCTTAGTACAAATCAATTGAGTTATAACCAGTGATCGGAATTAGGTAGAGTTATTCATGTACTTACACTGATTTTATACAGCGAAAGAATAAAGTGGATATGCCTCAAATCCCGAGATTAATTTTAAAGAACAGAAAAAAATCTCGTAATTTTTTAAATAAAAAGTTATTTACTTTTACACAATTTAAACTACTGCACGCACGACGTTACCAAACTTACATCAATGACATCGGATCTCCAAAGTTGCAAAATACCAATACGCGCGATGTTGCCACATTTGTAGTTCGCACAACAAAGCTTGTGAGAACAAAAGAATACAATAGCGCAAATGCGAAGCAGTCCCCACTTAACGTAATGTACTAGATTGTGTCTCTTTCTACCGCATTCAAACTATCTATTAGCAATGAATCGGTTTACTCATTCACTCAGCTCATTCGCTTACCTCGGTTCGTCGAATGCGCTCACTTGTTTCCTATTGTGTTTTGTGTAGTCAATCCTGTTTGACCCTGGCTCGTTTACTGGATTCTGGACTCTACTTAATACGACTATTTCATTCGGCACGCATTAACGGTCTTTGATTTGGCCTTACTGTATTGGATAATTGGATATTTGAAATTGGTGATATACTTGGTAAGTTTCTTGTTCATATTTATATTAAATTTCCTTTAAAATAGATTTTCCCTATGTAGAACGTTTTCTTGTATTGTTGTCAAAATTGGTATTGTTTAACTTAAGATGTTCTTTGATACAATGATTCTGATGGGCCGTTTGAATAGGCAAAACCTCATGAGTCTAGGCTAGAAGTAAAAATATTCGCTCGTATTTATAAAAAAGGCGAAATATGCGTATGAGAATTTGCTTAAGACTATCAATAATTTGTATTGTAAATTAATGTAAACTAATAAAAATTTTATGTTAATTATCTTTGTTTTATTTGTATTTCTCTGACGTTGTTATTATTATTTAGTTGTAAGATTGTTGGCCACACGGGATTTTCCATTAGAAATCCCGGGAAGGTCCACATTAATATCAACATTTCGATGCATGTATATAAATAACTCTACCTCATTCCGACCTCTGATTATAACATACTGTGGTAACCTGAAGTGCAATTGTGTGGACTACATTGTGTTCATGTATCTTCTGAGACTGAAGATTATTAATACATTGTCGTCCATATAAAAAAAATGTTGATGGTAACAGATAAGTTAGCTTTATCCGTAACAATAACTGAATAATTCGAATTTCTGAAAAAAACAACTTATACATGAATTTTAAATTTAAAAAGCTCTTTGACCAGAAATCTTACTTGTATAGACAAATTAAACAAGCCCGAGCTCGTCAACGTTACGTTTTTTAATTACAAAATTACCCTACGTTCCAATTTCATCATTACGGCGCTGGATTTTAACTTTGATCAAAATTTTCAACACAAATCTAATGATCCTAACTCTTTGGATATGCTTCTTTTAATTTTGCTATTACTTAACATAGCAAAAAAAAACAGTTTTAAAATAAATAGTTTCTTTATTTGGAAAGTGCATATATTTGTCCCGTAAGCGGGTCGACAGCCAGTGAAGGGGGCAGCTCGGCAGCGATGTCAGCAAGCGCCTCCCAACGTGTAGCGCGGCTACTAGTTGACTGGGTAGGACTTGATGTTCCTTCAGCAGCCTCCGAACTACAGTTATAAAGTGTATAATTAATAATAATTTTTTTTATATGTTGAACTGTACACAGCAAAAATCAAAAATCTTAATTTATATTGAACTTAATTCATGAAATTAGGATTTAAAAACAACTGGAGAAACATGACACCTTATAACTTAATGTGCTGTTTATTGTAGAAAGGCATTCTTTTTATCAGTATAATCTGCAAATTGAAAATACCTGGAGTATAAATGCAATAACTAGCATAAATGCAAACAGACGGAGTAGATAATTCATTAAAAAATACCTATATTTGGCATAATGAGTTGTAAGTATAACAAACAACTTTTGTAGGGCGTTTACTTATCAATTACCCGTAAAAATACAGTGTTAGTATCAGAGCGCTTTGTGTAATTTTTTGACATCTACGTACAGCGCCAAGCGGTAACTACTAAGAACTACAAATTCTTAACGCGCTCTCTAGTGAACACGTTAACGTAAAATTTACACTTACCACTCTGTTTGTGAAAAAAATATTCCAGCACGAAAATAAGATAACGCCCACTGAGTACAAAACTATGATCAAATAGAGACTACCACCAAATAATATTGCCTCGAGAGATGTTAAGCCGTTGATCACGTCTGCATTTGCCGGTAGGTAACCCAGGAGGATTATGGCGAGGTTTTCCCGTTTTTCGTTACGAATATAGGCCTTTACCAAAGCATAAGTTTGTATAACATTGGTAACCAGATATATAGTTCAACGCTTTTTTACTTACTCTAGAGCTTTTGGTTTACTATAAGATAATTGTACATGTTCATCATCGTTGTCAATAACGTCGGCCTTCGTCACTTTGTGACTCTGTTTACTTAAATTAACCGTGTGTTTGTGTTCTTCTTCTATAGTATGTATTGCGTTATCCACAACGAATAACTCGACCACTTTTTCTACAACTTGCTCCATAGATGATAATTTTTGTTCAATTTCTATTCTATTTTCGTCTTTTGGGGAACTTTCACTTTGAATAACATGTTTTTTAGACAAGTCTGAAAATATAAAAATAATAACATTTTATTGCACACGATACAGACAGGTAAACAACATGGAATTACACAGTATAACAATATGAAGTACACAAAAGACGATCTTATTGCTAAACATCAATCTTTTCCAGGGAACCTGCGGAGGAGATTAGTAAAAGAAACTAGAAAATGTGGGGTATTGTACAGAAATAAATTTTTATATTGGTATTGGGTGCAAAGGTAAGAAGGATATGATAACATATATCTTTACATATTATTTAAGAAAACTATAAGTATTCTTAATGAAAAATACTTAAAAATCCAATTTGTCCCTGAGATGGGACTCAAACTCACGACCCCCTATGAACAATTATTAGAACAATTTTCATCTTTATCTAAAGTTTAAATATGTGTAGGTAAAATATTTCTTTTGGCTCTTTGGGTAAATTGCCTCAACACTGATGAAAAAACGCTCTGTAGTAGCGAAAAATAACAAGTGCTTGAAAGATATTTGTGACCAGCCAAGGTAAGGCTGAACGTCTATTGTCTGATTTGTGTGACTAAATATGTTTGAGGTGTTGCTCGTTATGCGTGCACTATTGTCTTCTATTACAGTTTGAACTCCGGTCTTGTTTTGAAGTGTGTAGTTACCCTATTTCATCAACCACGTTGAGCGGCAGTTGTGTAGATGCTTACAGGTTCGATGCTTAGGCAAATGAATATAACTTGAGAACTGACTAAGCTTGAGAACTTGATTTAATAAAGGGTAAACGAAAAAACCCTTTTTTCGGGTTTAATGAGTAATTTAACATTATTATATTTGATTTGATATACTATCCATTTTTTTCGTTCAAACTCGTGAGCATAACGGAAACAGGTAATAATCAATGAAATTTTGACAGTTTTTTACAAAAAATTGCTATTGATTGAAATTAAATACGTATAATGTTTCTAACTCGACGAATTTTCACGAACTGACATTGAACTGACGAAATAAACGTTGGTACCACACATCGATAGAAAACTGTAAAAAGCTTTTATTTCAATCCATTAATATTTTAAAGTAGCTTCACAATTATCTCGAGTTTTGATAGCTCATAAAACCGAAGTTATTTACAAATTATTATTTGCAAAAGACGAAAAGATGCTTAGATATTAATCTATTTTCAGCAAAAAATAATTTAAATTGCCACTAATAGTAGGTAGACACGACCTTAAAAAAACATGTTACAGGTCAATAAATGTATGGAAAGGGGACACAATTCGTTTAGTTGTATTCTTATCAGTATTCGTGTATGATATAGTTTCCACATATTTAAATTATAATCGTATCAATGTATAGTCCAGTAAAAATCATTATTTGAGTAAATGTAGGTGTGTAATAAGTTTACCTAAGCAAATATTTTTTAGCCAGTAGACGAGAATTCGGATCAATTAAGAACTGTCAATAGGTAATATTAATTAATATAATTCTAACTTTTAAGATATGTCGCTTCACTCACTTTCTTATTTATTTGTAAAAAAATTTAAGAGTCTCGCAAAATGCCTTTAAAATTATGGATTTATCCAGAGCAAGAAATCGATGTACGTAATTCAAATGAATAGGAAAAAAATTGGCTAAAGTTAAAAAGTTGTACAATTGGTTGGAAAAAGGCTATAGCTAAAATAAATAAAATAGTATGAGTAGAATAAAAAAGCTGTAACTATAAATTATGTGGCGCATATAAAAAAGTTGTCTAAATACTTTTTTCTACTGCTTGCTAAGAGATGCAATATTTTCCTAAAAATATAAACTAAATTCTTTGCTCCAATCGTTCCCTGGCTTCTTCAATGGAGACATGATAAAATAATTGTACCATGGATTGTAAAAAAATACAGAGATTCTTTATTTACGTTGTAACAATTTTACAAGCAACATTTGTGAGTGAAATATACAGAAAAAATGAGGAAGTAGTAAAAAAAGTTTTTCTTGAAACTAATCTTGACGCAGTTACGTAATTTGAAATATTTATAGTGCTTTCTGATGGGAAGTGATTTGAATTTCGATAATAATTAATAAATAAGTCATCGTTTTCATAATGAATGAGTCAGCTCTTTTTCTCTTGATATCTAAGTTTCGAAAATTTTTATGTTCTTATTTATTTAGTTTAGTTGAAAGAAATTTGTTTTAGTTTTAGTAGTTGTTAATTTTTTAATACTTTCTCATTTTAATCAGTGCACAAATTTTAGCGGGCACCTACATTTCTTTACCTACTAAAATCGAAGATAGAATTATGTGTTTGTAGACGTTGCTACTTATGTTATGACCATCGTCGAGGTTTACAATCGATTTTTATCAATATAGGCATTACTTAAATATAAATTAAATTAGAATACTATCTGATTCTGTTGTATAAATATGGTGGGAATAAAATTCTGCATTGATTAAAAACTTACCCTGTAGGAAGGTACTGTGCTATGATGATTTCTTTGTTTTCTAATCCATGGTTGTTTAGTTAAATAGAACTTAGTCACTGTATTAAAAATTAATGATAAAATCTATAACTTATACAAGCTAAATAAAGGTGTTAAATAGCAAAATAATAAGTGAACGAAATGTATATAAAAATGTGTCAAATGCATAGGATGCGGCCTAGAATTTGTACCTTTCTCCAGGTCCAAATTGGACTTGTCTATTATAGATTTATTATTACTATCTAATTGTATAGTTTCGGCTAAAGTATCACACGTAGGAAGCACCTTTATTTCGTTAATCCAATTTTCTTCGTCCGCATACATAGTTGCTGCATCCTTTTTTAAGGGTTCATTAAGCTTTCCATCACTTGTTTCTACATTTATATCTGAAAGAATATTTTTTCTTTTGTAAATTATAAATAGCACATGTCATCATCACATTAATCATACAATTTTATGTATTAGAACAATTATGTATCAAAACTTATATTTCGCACGTATAAAATTCAGTAATCGGCTATTTTTCTGGTCAAGTGGTTAAGTAATAAAATTACAAATGGCCTTTTAATAATTACCTCGTCGGGTCAATATTTACGTTTCAAGGTTCACTTAGTAAACATTGAAACTGTTGTAAGGAATTTTCTCATTAGGTTGTTGTGTGCGAGGTCGGCACTACAGAAAGGAATTTATAGGAATACCTGTGGCGTTTGAGTTTGTCGTCATGTTTGGAGCACTACTTGTACACCCCATGATGCATAGAAACTGTTTAGCCAGCCGCCATGGGTACTGTTTTATTATCGTTTGTAGGTAAACTAGGAGCAACGGAGGAACGGATCGCGTCAGGCAATGGTGTTAAGGCGACAACGGCTGCAACTTCCAGCCGGCCGCAGCAACGTCGCTCAACTGGCGGCCCGAGATCGTATCGTGGCTACCTATTAGAGGAGGAGGGAGTCCACTCAACTGACCTCGCACCCCCATCGCGTTTTTCCAATTAAGCGGAGGTAGTAGGTACATTCCATTACTCTGGCGCGCATAATTTTTAGCTGACTTCTTCCTTTTTATAGAATTTATCAAGATTAAAAAGCCTTGAAAACAAGCTGTCGTAATTTGTTACGTGGAACTATAGAACAAAAGTGCGGAAAATGTATTTATCATTTTAAATATGATTAGATTGTCTGCATATGATTTTAATTTATTTTAAATATATCTTTTAGCGAGATAAGAAAACTTAGTTTTTTACCGTAGGTACGCTGTTTGTAACTTTCTTACTTTCTCTAAAAAACGCTTCGTAACGTATTACTTATTGAGGTTTCAACACTCAGGAAGTGATACGTTGCCATTTCCATGCGCTCGCTAACTTTGAGATCCCGAGACTCGAAATCACAATCACAACCTTTCACAAACAAGGCGACTGCTCTAACTTTGGCTAAAATTGCTGAAAGAAAGAAATATTTTACAAATTTATTTATTTATTAGTACAACTTACAAAACATACACATATTATTTTATTTGAATTTTAATCTATTTGAGACAACAACCTCAAATTACAATTCAATACTTAATTCTAGCATTTACTTAGAAGGTCAATATTAGTTATCCACATAATATAACAATATAATCAGCGTCAGTTGAGGGTAAGACAATATCGAGATATGTCAGTGGCCGAGCGCATCAACCATTACAGTGCGTAATGGTAAGTAGTGGTTTGCCGTCGCTGCCGGCCACCACGCTCGAATTTGTCTGCCAACTTCTCACTTAGTGATACGAATAAATACATAATATATACATATCATACTAATTGTTACATTATAGGTAATAGCTACATATATATATTAAATGCTAGTTATAAATCAGTTATTTGTTATAATTGCCAAAATTATGTATTTAAATATCAATATCAAACGTTTGTGACAGAGTTTTATATCGACGCTGGAAAGCAAACATATAGTAACCTACAAAATCAAAATGGATATTCAAAGAGGAAAATCTTTATATTTTTCCAAAAAAAAATATCTTATTTCCATATAAATTGACTAAGGAACAACTTATTTGTTACCGTGGGCGTTTATAGCAATTATTTATCGAAAGAAAATAATTGCTATAAACGCTAAAGAAAATCTTTTCTGAACTGATGAACAATTTGGTTTTGCGGGTTACTACGTGTTTGCTTCCCAGCGTTGATATGTGCTAACAAGTCTATTAGCTGCCCCCAGCATTAGTGCCGAGATTACTACGAGATGTTGATGGTACAAAAAAGAATATTCACATTTATATGGGACATTAGTTTTGTTAGCAGATGAGGAATATCTGTTACACCCTTCACAACTTTATAAAGAAGCAGTTGATCAATAAATGGTCTACGCTACTTAAGACTACACAAATGATAATATTGAGCCGGTCTTTGTATGTATGAAGCTGCTTTGATCTATTGCAATGATAAGATAGATGGTAAACAAAACGTTTAAGAACCCGCTCAATAACGTTGGAATGTACCTACAGCATAATAAGGTGACCATATCTTCGTTGAACCTTGTCAAAGGCCTTTCAAAATTCTGCATATATAACATCTACTGCAGTGCATTTATCTATATGCATATTTAATATATCCAAGAAAGTAGTTAGATTTGTTGCAGTAGAGCGACCCTTCATAAATCCTTCTTGGTTTGATGTAATTACTGTTTTATATGTTATGACTAGCTTTCGCTTGGTTGCCCCGGGCTGCGAGCAGCCCGGGGAGGTAACGAGTAGCTGGTGGAATCGGGGCGGTGGGGTTTCAAGTCCGCCTTCGTTGTGGAATATGTGTTTTTCGACTTTTATTTGTTAAGTTTGGTTTATAGTTTGAAAACACCTACAAAAAGTTAGTAAGTTCTGTTTTCAAATGAAAGGTGTTTAAGTACACAAAGCACCATACATCCAAGAAAAAGGGTTGATAGTTAACACGCAATAGAAAAATAAATATTCAGTCGAAAAACGCAAGCAAAACGCTAAATGAATTATAGTCTCTTATTCTTATTCAATAGTAAGTTTACATTTAGTGTGAAAAAGGATCGAGTAGATATTTCCCCCAGTGTTACCTTAAATAATACACCAAATAAATAAATGTCAAATTTCAAACTCATACCTACGTAGAACACTTTCATTTTGAATATCAAAAGAACATGTTTTCTCAAAAATCTAAAAGTATAGAAAAATATATTTTAAGTATTAAACATCGTGTCTAAAATTGGATTTTCTTTTCTCCATACTTACCTATGTGAAAGTGTGGGTAAAGATACCTACACAAATGGTCCATATATACACGCTATAAAGATCCCGAATTGTCAAGTCCATCGAAATCAAAATTGAAATTAAAATGGTTTCGATCATCTTTTAAACATTATAAACCAAATGTTACCATCAACAAAAGCGATTCGTTTCTGGCACTTCGCCGGCCGCTGCCGAGGCACGCTCGCTACGCTCGCTCGGCTCGTGCGTTGTTTTTCATACACTAACCTAACCTAACCTAACCTATATGTCATAATAAACCTATACAAGTTTTTGTTGCTTTACTTATTGTAAAGTTCTTGAGCATAAACGAGTCGCTTGTGGAATCGGAGCGGTGGAATTTTAGGTCCGCCTCTTGTTATGTTTACAGTTTGAAATTGCCTAGAAAAAGTTAGTGAGTTCTATCTTCAAATGAATTATGTTTAAGTACACAAAGCACCATACGTCAAAGAAAAAGGGTTGCCGGTTTACATAAAATAGAAAAAGAAACATTCAGTTGAAAAACGCAAGCAAAAGTAAGATAAAATTTGGAATAGATCGACTTGTAGTCATTTATTGTCTTATTCTTATTCAAAAGTAAGTTAATATTTAGTTAATACAGATATTTGAGTTTTAAGACCACCTCTTGTTATGTTGGGTTTACAGTATAAAATTGCCTAGAAAAAGTTAGTAAGTTCTATCTTCAAATAAAAGATCTTTAATTACGCAAAACATCATACATAAAAAAAAAATTGCCAATTTACACGCAATATAAAAAGAAATATTTAGTTGAAAAACGTAAGAAAACTTAAAATAAATGTTGTATACGTCGTCTTTTAGTCTTTTATTCTTATTCAATAGAAAATTTCCTAAAAATCACAGTATCAAAAAAAAACTGGTTTTTTATCATCCGGCAACACTTCAACTGAATACATTTTTTTTCTGTAAGTAATTTGAAAAATGTTATCAATAACGCCAAAATCAGCTTTATAAAGTAAAAACCGTGAAAAATGATATATTTTCTAGCACACTTATAAGCACATTTGATCACAGTTCCTTAACTGATTGACCAGGTCTCCATTTATTATGGCTCGCTTCGCTCGCTTTTTCTTTTTGTTTTTTTCGCAGATCTAATCTAACCGATTGACCAGGTCTCTATTGATGGTGTCCTTTATAGCTCGCTTCGCTCGCATTTTATTTTAGTCATAGTTCTAACCCTACTAATTAACCATATCTCTCTTAACAGTTACTCCTTATGGCTCGCTTTGCTCGCTTTTTGTTTTAGACACGTTGCTAACATAATCGATGGTTTCTCTTAATGGTCTAGCATTATGGCTCGCTTCGCTCGCTCTTCATTTTGGTCACAGCACTTTAAGCAATTGACCAGGTCTCCATTGTTGATGGCTCGCTTCGCTCGCTTTTTGTTTAAGACACGTTGCTAACATAATCGATGGTCTCTCTTAATGGTCTAGCATTATGGCTCGCTTCGCTCGCTCTTTATTTTGGTCACAGCACTTTAAGCAATTGACCAGGTCTCCATTTTTTATGGTTCGCTTCGCTCGCATTTTATTTTAGTCACAGTGCTAACATAACCGACTGATCAGATTTCTATTGGTGGTGTTCTTTATGGCTCGCTTCGCTCGCATTTTATTTTAGTCACAATTCTTACCTTACCAATTAATCAAATCTCTCTAATTGGTCACTTTTTATGGCTCGCTTCGCTCGCTTTTTGTTTTAGTCGCAGTTCTAATCTAACCGAATGACAATTTCTCGCTCATTTTATTTTTCTGGTGAAAATATTGGATTTTTTTTTCTCACCATGTAAAGATTGAGTAAAGATACAGAAACGGTTTATATATGCAAAGTTTCCGAGTCACCAACTCAGTCAGAATCATTTTGAAATTAATATGGTGACTACTATCAGTGTTGCTAGAACTCAAATTATTCCATCAATTATGTTATAAATTCAACAGTAAAAATTTTATTAAACAGTAAAATCATTGTAAAAACATATTTTAATATTTTTCATCAATGACATACATGAAAATTTCTCAAAAATCTCGGTATCAAAAATTTTACCGTTTTTTTTTTCATCTGGCAACACTTCAGCTGAATACATATTTTTGTTAAAAGTATTCCGAAAAATGTTACCGAAAACGCCAAAATCAGCTCTATAAAGTGAAAGTCGTGAAAAATGATCAATTTTCTAGATAAAATGGTCGCTGTTTAAGCCGCCATCTTGAATTTTGAAATTTCAACCTAAGACCCATGTAGCCCATCTATTGGCGCATCCAACGCAGTTTTTATTATTTTCCTAGCGGCTATAATGACTGCGCTAGAGTCCAAAACGTGAATAGTGGGCATTGAACTTTCAAACCGCCGTAGCTGCCGGGGTTGCCAGATGCAGGCGATGAAAACAGTCAAATGTGATTTCGGGATGCGCCCTCCATCGTCGGATACCAATTTTCAAGTTCTAAAATTGTTCCTTTGACATTAACAGTTTTTGGGGTAAATCTCAAAAACTACCCTAAAATCGGGTAATTTTTTTCCACCACATGAAAGAGTCTAAAGAGATACACAATAGCTCCATATATGCCAAATACCTGCGGGGTTACCAAGTCAGTCAAAATCGAGGTTGAATTTCAAACGTTGTTTGCTCTCAGTGTTGCCAGTCGATCGTTCTATTTTTTCCATCGGGTATCTTGAAAAGTTAAAATTAAAATATTTGCATCAAA